ATCAAACTGACTGGAGACAAAAATATTGATGATTATTCTCCTATTGTTTTGTTAAATGCTATCCCTAGTGATGTAAAGTCAGCCATTAAGTATGGCAGAGATAAGGTTTCTTTGGACACTGTGATAAATGGTTTAAAAAGCAAAGAACTGGATTTAAAAACTACCAAGGGTAGTAAATCTTTTGGTGAAATCAACTTTGTGAAAGGGAAGCCTAAAAATCAGTTTCAAAATAATTTTCAAAATAGATTTCAAAATAAGGCTTCCTCTAGTAACCAAAACCAGTCTTTACAAAAACCTAAAAAGGGCAAGGGGTGGAATAAGTTTAAAGCCAAAGGCAGAAAGTGTTATAATTGTGGTAAAAATGGTCATTATGCTAATGAGTGTTCTGAGCCTAAAAAGGAAAGAACCAATGAACATGCTAATGTTGTGACTGATAACCTTGGTGATGTGTTTATGGTTGGTGATGTAATGCATGATTATGTGAACTCTGTGATCTCCTCTCTATGTGATAATGATTGGATTTTTGACTCTGCATGCACCCATCATATGACACCTCATAGACATCTGTTTTCTTCTTATGTGAAACTTGAAAATGGAAATGTGTCTATGGCTGATAACAGTGAAAGAACTGTCGTTGGAATTGGAACAATCTGCCTAAAATTTGAATCTGGTTTTGAATTAATTCTTAAGAATGTTAGGCATGTCCCTCAACTTAGCAGTAATCTTTTGTCTGTTGCTATTCTTGAAGATAGTGGTCTGCATGGTAATTGGGGAGATGGTTGTCAAAGAATCATGATGCATGATAAATTTGTTTTCAAAGCTGTTAGAATGCAAAATCTCTATGTGTGTTCTGCTGAACCTGTTTTGCATGCCAACACTGTTAATCATGACATGTCTATTCTATGGCATAAGAGGTTAGGTCATATAAGTGGTAAAGGTCTTGAAATTCTGCATAAGAATGATTATCTGAGTGATGATTGTGTGACTGATTTACCTATATGTGATTCATGTATCCTTGGAAAGCAAACTAAAGTGAAATTTCCTGTGTCTCCATTCCCCAATTCTTCTAAATGTTCTGATATACTTGAATATGTGCATGCTGATGTGTGGGGCCCTGCCCCAGTTCCTTCTCATGGTGGTAATAGATATTTTCTGTCTATTGTGGATGATTTTTCTAGAAAAGTGTTTGTGTTTTTACTCAAGAATAAATCTGATGTGTGTGAAAGATTTAAAAATTGGAAAACCTTGATTGAAAACCAAACTTGAAAGAAAATCAAAACTTTGAGAACTGATAATGGAACTGAATTTTGTAATGCTGAATTTGATACTTTGTGTTCTGAATCTGGCATTAAGAGACACAAAACTGTTGTGTATACACCTCAACAAAATGGTATTGCAGAAAGAATGAATAGAACTTTACTTGATAGAGTTAGGTCTATGCTAAATTCTTCTGGCTTGAAAAAACCTTTTTGGGGTGAAGCTGTTCTTACAGCTGCTTATTTGATAAATAGGTCTCCTTCTGTGCCCTTAAATGGGGAATTACCTGAATCTAAATGGTGTGGTAAACCTGTTGATTTATCAAATTTGGAAGTTTTTGGCTGTACTGTGTTTGTTCATCAAAAACTTGATAAACTTGACCCCAGATCTGTGAAATGTGTTTTCTTAGGATACCCTGAAGGGGTAAAGGGGTATAGGTGTTGGTTGTATGGTGATCAGGGGTTTAAAACTGTGATTAGCAGGAATGTTGTGTTTAATGAAAATGAATTTCCATGCTTATCTGTTCCTAATATTGTTTCACCTGATACCACTTCCTCTGAGGTGGAGATTCCACCTGTTAATCCTGTTCAAACTGAAAATGAAAACACTAATGATGAAGTTGTTAATAATGAGATGCCTGAAAACACTGTTTTTGATCAAAATGTTAATCTTGATGTGCCCTCTGTGAATGATCTTGGTGATTATCAACTTGCTAGGGACAGAGATAGAAGAAACATTGTTAGGCCTCCTCATTTGAATGATTATCAACTTGCCTCTCATGTGTTTCATGTGTTTGATTCTCTAGATGGTAATGAACCTAAGTCTTATAGGGAAGCTTTGAATTCTAATGAGTCAGTTGAATGGTTAAATGCTATGAATGATGAAATGAAGTCTTTACATGTTAACCATACTTGGATTCTTGTACCTAAACCTCCTGCATGCTCTTTAGTGGACTGTAAGTGGTTGTTTAAGGTCAAACATGAATCTGACTCTGTTAGATATAAAGCTAGGCTAGTGGCTAAGGGGTTTACCCAAAAGGAAGGTATTGATTATACTGAAATATTTGCTCCTGTTGTGAAATTCACCACTGTTAGAATCATGCTTGCTTTAATTGCTCACTTTAACTGGGAATTAAAACAAATGGATGTGAAAACTGCTTTTTTGCATGGTGAACTAGATGAGCAAATTTATATGTGCCAGCCTGAGGGTTTTGTTGATAAAAAACATCCTGATTATGTGTGCCTCCTTAAGAAATCTTTGTATGGACTGAAACAGTCACCTAGGCAGTGGAACAAGAAATTTGATGCATGCATGATGTCTTTAAAATTTAAAAGGAGTTCTTATGATCCTTGCTTGTACTTTAAAGAATCTGCTAAAATTCCTGTGTTCTTGCTTATCTATGTGGATGACATGCTTCTTGCTAGTCCTTGCATTCAAACTGTTAATCATGTGATTAAATGTCTTAGTGATGAGTTTTATATGAAACTTCTTGGTAATGCAAAAAGAATTCTTGGCATGGACATAATTAGAGATAGGACTGGCTGTACTCTGTTTCTGAATCAATCCTCCTATATTGAGAAAATCCTTGAAAAATTTTCTATGTTGTCTGCCAAACCTGTGTCTGTTCCTCTTGCTCCTCATTTTTTGCTAAGTAAGGATCAGTCTCCCAAGACTGAGCCTGAAATTTCTGAAATGAAAAATGTGCCATATGCCAATGCCATTGGCTCTGTTATGTACTTGATGGTTAGTACTAGGCCTGACATTGCATATTCTGTGAGTTGCTTGAGTAGATATATGTCTAATCCAGGTTTGCCTCACTGGGAGGCTCTGAAATGGCTGCTTAGATATTTGAAAGGTACTGTTAAAACTGGTTTGATGTTTTCAAAAGGTAAATCTGAAATTGAACTCTGTGGTTATGTGGATTCAAACTTTGCCAATGATAGGGACAATAGAAAATCTTCTACCTCCTATGTGTTCACCTTAAATGGTGCTTGTGTTAGTTGGAAATCTCAACTCCAACACATTGTTGCTCTGTCTACTACTGAATCTGAATATATAGCTGCTACTGAGGCTATTAAAGAAGCCATTTGGCTTAAAGGGCTGTTGTTGGAAGTTGATATGCTTAATTCCAAAGTGGTAGTATTTTCTGATAGTCAATCTGGCATTCAACTGTGTAAAAATCCTGTTTTTCATGATAGAACTAAACACATCGATGTGAAGTTCCATTTCATTAGGGATGTGGTTGAAAAAGGGATTATTGACCTTGAAAAAATCCCATCTGAGTTCAATCCTGCTGACATGGGAACTAAATGTCTGCCTTCTGAAAAATTCTGTTCCTGTTTGCAAAACTTGAACATTCTGTCCAAACCTTGACTTGCTGTGTGCTAGTTTGTAGTCTGTGTGACTTGGTATTTATGCTTTCTTTGTGATTGCTTGTTTAAATCTTTTTCTATGTGACTAAGATTGTGCTGTCTGTGTGATTGCATTACTGCATTTATTTTGAAGTGCAGATAAGTTGTATTCTGAGTGAATTCAACTAGATATACTTGTATGAACTGTGTGCTCTTACTGGTATGTCAAAAATACAGCAATGATGACTTCCAAAATTTTTTTGTAAATTTTCACTAATGATTCACATTTGGTCCAAGGTGGAGAATTGTTGGATTTTGGCCCAAATATGTTCTGGGCCATAAAGCCCAATTACCATTATATACACCACCATGAGTTGAGCCCAAGTTAGTTTAAGTGAGCCCAGCCCATTTAGTAGCCAGATCCATCCGTTGGATCTCAGGCTTAATCTGGACCGTTCATCGCCTCACTTAAATAGCTCTTTCTCTCTCTTCGTTTCACTCATTCTGAAACCCTAATTTTTCTTCTCTTCTCCGCCGCTCCTGCTTCTGTCTTCTTCCTCCCTTGTACTGCCTGACTGAGTTATGGCTAGAGGTCAAAGTGCACGGTACAGTGCTGACTTTGACCCTCCGGTACAGCCTTCACCGGCTCTCTTTGACTTCAGTCACTATATATGTTGGCATGGAGGCTGGAAGAGGGTAAGACAGAGAAAAACCCTAGTCAGACCTAAATCCCTTCGTTTTTCTTCTTTGTGAGTTCAGAAATTGGGGTTTTTGGTGAGTGGGTAAGCTTGAGTGCTTGATCTGTTCTTCCTTCGTGGTTTTCTGGGTATATTAGGGTTTGAGTGTGTTTGAGAGAAAGGAGATCTGTTCTCCTTGAGGCACTCTGGTGGTGTATATTTGGAAGTGTGAATCTCTGGTGTGAAATTGGAAGACTGAGCTGAAATCTCAATCTATTTTGATTTTCCAATCTGTTTCATACCTTGTATTTCTTTCTTCCTTTTATATTTTCATACCTATATATATCTATTCTCCTTGGCAGTAATTAATACTGCCTAAGGGGAATTCATATACTATTTTCAGTTGGTTGAAAATGGAGCTTGGCGATTTGATACCCTACAATCGGATTTATTTTGATTAGGCTCTCGGTTGGTGGCCGGTGACCATTTCGAGTTTCAAACTTTATAAAAAAAAAAAAAAAAGACAATCATTAAAATTTAATTTAATATATTAATAATAATACATCAAGGTTTGACGAACTTTTTGACAATAATGAAATTATATTATAAATATAGAGAAAATGATGTAAACAATTGGGATTATATTATTGACACTAATAATTAAATATAAGTAGAAGACAGAAGTAAGTGTTGGAAGAGTGTTGGAGCGAGAGCATATCCCAATGGAAAAGCCGACAAATAATAGAGTTTTGTAACTGAGCTGTGCGTCGAATCCGTGGCGGATACCCGACAAATCTCTCTCAAAGAAACTAAATCTCTACAATCAATGCATCAACCATTTCTATCAGATTTCGTTGTTTTCTGCTGCTAATCATTCTTTCCCCTTTTCCTCAACCCAAAATCAATTTCAATTTCAGGATCAAACATCTGTTTTTGTTGTTGCTGTTATCCATCCAATTCAATTTTCCCGACCTCCAATGTCGAAACAGAGCTACAGAGTGTGCTTCTGCTTCCGGCGGAGGTTCCGGATGGCGGCGGCGGAAGCTCCGGCCGATATCAAGGCTATTTTCGATGAATACTCAGAAAACGGGGTTATGAGCGTGGATCAGATGCGGCGGTTCCTGGTGGAGGTGCAGAAGGAGGAGAATTCCACTCTGGAGGATGCGCAAGCTGTGATGGATAGCCTCCATGAACTGAAGCATCTTAATGTATTTCATAAGCGAGGGCTTAATCTCGAGGGTTTTTTCAAGTACTTGTTTGGCGATGTTAACCCCCCTCTTAATCCCAAACTCGGGGTAATTCAATCTACTTTTTAAAGTTATCTTCTTTACTTTGATTTGGATTTTGGAGTTCCCGTTTTGGATTGTTTCCACTAGTAAATCTTCTTAGTTAAATTATTTAATATTTTTTAGTAGATCCCGATCATGGTCCTCGTGGATCGGTTCATGCATATAATATACAAAAAAATCGGAACTCAACTCCTGATAGTTGATATCTTGTTAAGGATGGCTTCTAATGTCGAGAAAATCGTTTTAGCTTAGCAGTCTGTCAATCGAATGATATGGAGCAACTTGGACTTGAATTTTGAAAGGTTGCGGAAAGGAAAAGACAAAAAATTAAATGTTGGTTCCGTAGAAAGTCTTCAATGCAGTACCATAACCCGATGCTGATTCAATCCAACACTTCAATTACAATACCATATCCAGTTTTAGCAAATGAAAAAAGAAGATGTAAGACCATATGAATTATATGATTTAACGACTCTAGGAAAAAGAATTGTATATTATTATATGTCTCTTTGTCTAAATTTGACATTTTTGGCTTCAAACGTTTTCTGAAGTTTCTTTTCAAAATTCGGGTATTATCTCCTCACCTTTTTTGAGCTTGTGAGTTCCTCTCTGAGTATTTCTCTGGCATTCATCAGTAATTGGGGAAAAGCATGTTACTTCCTTCTCTTATTTATTTCGGTTTCAAGACTTTCACTGTAATGATTCAACGTAGGCGCTTCACTGCTACCATCTGTAGCTGTGAAAAGTAAATTGAATTGTGTTTCTCTAATTATCTGTATTTTTCCTCTTTCAGGTTCACCACGATATGAATGCTCCGCTGTCTCATTACTTTATATACACTGGCCATAATTCGTATCTAACAGGAAACCAACTGAGTAGTGACTGTAGTGATGTTCCTATCATAAATGCACTACATAAAGGTGTAAGAGTTATTGAATTGGACATATGGCCGAATTCAACAAAAGACAATATTAATGTTCTACATGGGAGGTATGCTATTAATTTTGCACGTATTCTTGATTTTGTTTTTTGGGATGTTCCCAATTGATACTGTTATCGATGGCTAGTACCATATGCAATGCCTAATTAATCTTCTTGCTTCTTAATGTTGGTCCTCTAACTGTGATGATAATGCATGTATGTGATGTAAGAAACACCAAATCATTATTAGTGGTTATCTGCAGTAACACACTAAGTTTAAGCAGTTGTATGGGTAGTAATTAGGTTGGGCAGGTAATTGGGTACTGAGGATAGTGCCAGGGGTAAAAAGTGGAGTCTGTCTAAACTCCACAATATACCACCAATCAACATATTTCTTTTTGATTATTGTTTATAATATGAGAAATACGTTTATATTTAAACTTGTAGAGTTCAAACTTGTGCATATCAGACATGGTTCTAAATGCTTAAATATATTTTATATTTGACTTGCACTTTCCTTGATAGATAATATCCGCACTATGCATTGCCAAAAAGGAAATTTACTGATAATATCTTTGCCGTTAAGGACTTGGTATCAACTCCCCCACTTTTGCTGAATTTCATGCTGTAGTCATGTCTGCCCTTGTCTTTGCTAATCCGACCTATGTTTTTCTTTTCTTTTATAACTTGACTTTATTTTTCTCTATTTCATTTTTCCTGTGTAGGACGCTGACCACTCCGGTTGAACTCCTCAAGTGTCTGAAATCTATTAAAGAACACGCTTTTACTGCATCTGAATATCCTGTTGTAATAACACTTGAAGATCATCTTACACCGGATCTTCAGGCTAAAACGGCAGAGGTATGTCTATGGAGTTTTATAATGGCACATTACACACTTTCCTTGCTCTCTAATCAATTTCCTCATGCCTGAATCTAGATGATAAATCAAACATTTGGAGACATGCTGTTTTCGCCTGGTTCAGAATGCTTGAGTGAGTTCCCCTCCCCAGAATCTCTAAAGAAAAGGGTTATTATTTCAACGAAGCCACCGAAAGAGTACTTGAAGGCCAAGGATGTTAAAATCCAAGAGACTGACTCAAAGAAGGGAACCGATTCAGCTGCGGAACCTTGGGGGAAAGAAGTCAAAAGCTTTAAAGGTTTTAAAGCCAATCTTGATGAAGATAAGGTGTGTTCAGCTTTTTTATGCTTCGTTTAGTGTTGACTAAAATCACTTCAGCTGATGTAGTTCTTACCTGCCCATAATTTCTCTTTCTAGGATGATGATTTAGATGGGGAAGGTGACGAAGATGAAGAAGACGAGGAAGAGGATCTTAAGTCACAGCAGAACACAGCACCTGAATACAGGCGTTTGATTGCTATTCATGCTGGAAAGGGGAAAGGAGGAATGGCGGACTGGCTTAGGGTGGATCCTGACAAAGTGAGACGACTTAGCCTGAGTGAGCCGGAGCTGGAAAAGGCTGTTATTACTTATGCCAAAGATATTGTGAGGTACATTGTTATTATTTTGTGGACATGTTTGCAACTGTTGCTATTCTTTAAATTAGAGAAATGTTCCCATTGAATAAAAACGAAACCCCAGAAGGTTTAAATGCAAGAATAACTGAAGCAATTATGCACACAAGAAGTTGATCATGACTTGATACAATATACTCATTCCTAAGAAATGTTGATCAATTAAAATTACTCTTACTAATCAAACCAATAGTTTATGGACGACGATTTTTTTTTTGTTACTAAATTAACTACCTTAGTGAGGCACAAATGCCGGTTTACCCAGGAGCTTATGTGCTTTAACAGTTTTCATTCTCATATTTGTTTTTTTCAGGTTTACACAGAAGAACTTGCTGAGAGTCTACCCAAAAGGTATACGTTTTGACTCTTCCAACTACAATCCTCTAATTGGATGGATGCATGGAGCTCAAATGGTTGCGTTCAATATGCAAGTAAGTAATTTTTCTTTTGATGGAGTTAAAAGTACTCTTAATTTGAACTCACTTTACTACATGTTAGTTTACATGCGTGAACCAATGTGCCAAAGCTGAATTATCAGAGGACATCAGGTATTTGAACATAATTCTAAGGCGTAAATAAGCCATATCTAAGGCGAGAAAGGCCAAAGTTCAATATGAGCTGAGATGCTTCAACAGTAATGTTAAACTTTGTCATCTGAATTTCATGATTACATCTGTTGTTTTGAAATAGCGTAATGCGATCCTTTTGAATCTAGGATTTAGTGTGGGAAATAAAGAGGGAATTAAGAGCACTAAGATATATTTTTCAGCTCACTTTTCTTTTGAGTTGAACAAATATCAATTTCAATAACTATTTAAATGCAGTAGAGTGCTGTGAAATATGATTTGATGGAAAATGGGTGTCCTTGGAAACTCGTGCGAGGTAATAACAAAATTTGATTATTCTGTAACAGGGTTATGGGAGATCACTGTGGTTGATGCATGGCATGTTCAGGGCGAATGGTGGTTGTGGATATGTTAAGAAACCAGACTTTTTGTTAAAGGGTGGTGGTGAGGTGTTTGATCCAAGAGCTACATTACCTGTCAAAACTACTTTGAGGGTAGGCTGAAATTATCCCATATCAACTGAATGTTTTTTTTTTTTTTTGTAATCCTTTCTTGATTTAACACGTACATCCTTTTATGTTAAACAGGTGACTGTGTATATGGGTGAAGGATGGTATTATGACTTCCGTCATACTCATTTCGATACTTATTCTCCTCCAGATTTCTATGCAAGGGTAAGTAGCGAACGATAATACTCTGGCTTATCACCTGTTTATGGTTTTGTACTTCCAGTTTGGCTCTTAAATTGTACTGTCTGCTATTATCAACTTGTAAGAATCTCTGAGATCATCTAACAATAATTCCATTAACTTGGCGTGTTACATGCGTAGACACAAGATTGAATATAAGAAGTATTTTGATGAGCTAGAGCTCGAGCTCAAAATTAGGGTTGCGCACCTTTTATATTGTGTATGACACTTTATGTTCAACATTAACCAGTCTTAATAATCGAATAGGTTGCTTTACTGGACTAATTTTTACCAGTCGACAATTGGCTTGCCGGACAGTACCGAAACATTATCATGACCAATGTATTAATTCCATCTCTTCTTCTGACATTAGCCTGGTAGAAGCTTCTGGGCTTTATTTGAATGAATTAATATAGAAAAGATATATACTTTTACAAAATCTTTGAGCTTGTATATTTATATAGCATAAGTAGATATATATATATATATATATACAGGATACTGAGTGGGTTTTGTGTATTCTCAGGTGGGAATAGCAGGAGTGCCAGCTGATGTTGTAATGAAGAAAACAAAGACGCTTGAAGATAATTGGATACCTACTTGGGACGAAGTTTTTGAGTTTCCACTAACGGTTCCAGAACTGGCGCTGCTTCGTATTGAAGTTCACGAGTATGATATGTCTGAGAAGGATGACTTTGCAGGGCAGATTAGCCTGCCAATATCGGAGCTTAGAGAAGGTATCCGTGCAGTTCCACTTCACTCGCACAAAGGGGTGAGGTACAACTCTGTCAAGCTTCTTATGCGATTTCAGTTTATCTGATACACACGGGTATTACTTTCTCCCAAGTTATTTTTCTTGTTTGAGATTAATTGTGATGTATATTTATGCAACTGTATTATTATTGTTTACTTGTTTGTGAATTTATGAAGAGTCAAATAATGTATAGGAGTGTGTGGTATCGGAGTGTGTTGCGATGTGGTTCTCAAACCAGAGTTTGTATGTATTCTGTTTTAGGAATATTTACTTGCTTAAAATACAAAATATTTTCCTCATTTTTGGTACTAGCTTTATAATATCTATTCACTTGTGGATTTGCGTAAAACGGCTAACAAATCATTCATCGATCTCCCCTGTGGCTGTATAGTATGATAAACTTAGTCGAAGGCACAGGAATACATTCATGTATCAAGGAAAACAACGGGTAAGATACTGCAAATGTTAGTTACAGCAATTCGAGGGAACAATATGGAAATAACACAAGGAAAATTCTGATTCTGAGCAAACTCAACTTGTCCAACAATTTATTACATGTTCATTTAACTTTTTTCTTCCAATTACCAAACAAGCTAAAAGTAAGTGACAAAATCAAAATAATTTGAAAACAGTTTTCCTTAATGTTTTGAATTTCGTCATTTCAAAACTGAATTGATTTGATCAGAAGAGCCAGAAAAGCTTCAAAGGCTTCTTCCGGAGACTTGTGATAAGAAGCTTTGATCAAATTTATGAAAAAATGTCGAACATCTTTATATTAGTGGTTGTTGGTATATCGAAAGCCTTGGCAATCAGCAATAATTCATTCAATACTTCAATTATTGTTTTGTTTTAGTAGTTATAGAAATCGAATCAAACAGTCCGTTCACTCTCTCACCTGTTCTTGTGTGATTTTTGGGGTAATCCATCCGAACAGAAGTGGAAATCTTGATAACGTGCAAAAGGGTATGAGATTTTATCGAGAAGAGAGGCTTTTTTTTTTTTTTTTTTAATATGATTTTGTTATGAAAAATGTCACTTGGAATATTATGTATTATTAATTGTTCTAGTTTACGACTCTTCATTATTAATTGGCTTAACTATAACGAAAACAAACCAGACTTTAGAGTAAATCTCGAACTTTTTGAAGAATTTGATTTCTGTTGTACGACTCCTATGTATTGTCTATAAATACTACTTATCTCCATCAAAATGTACGTTTTACCTTGCGAACAATTCATACGATATATGAAATCTATTGTTCTTTACATTCTGCAAATCTATATCTTTTCATAAATTCTTACTGACTCGATCGTCGTCGGAGTATCTACTACGAAAACCCCTCACTGCTTTGTTTATTAACCACTTTGCTAAAATTTGATTGTCAATTGTCAAGTATGTTACCCAAACTCAATGCCAATATTCACCAATTTTAAAAATTTAATAAGATCACTGTCAAAATTATATAAATTCATTATCAAGTTTCACCAATTTTTATAAGTTCACCACCGTTTCTCACAAAATTTTTAAAAAGTTAATTGCTAATTGACGAAAGTTAACTGCCAATTTCAGAAGTTCATTGCCATATTTTGTTTAAGGGTAAAGTTGCTAGACACCTCTTATTTTGGACTTATATAAGTAGAGATCCATTCTATTAGAGCAACTTTAATGGAGTTATCAAATAGAGTATTCAAACATTTAACTCCCATTTACATACATAAAAATAGAAATCTTTAACTCCAATGGAGTTATCAAATGAGGTTTTCATTTTGATAATTCATCTTTTGGGTTGTAAAAATACTTGCTGGAAATTGAGTTATAAAAAATGTAACCTCCTAATCATTCAATCAGAAGTTGACACATGGCAATTACAAATAAAACCACCAATAAACTTCTAATACACATAAGCACACATATCCCTCTCACACACATACACATACGCACCCATATTTCTCTCACATCTAACATATTCTCTCTTCTTATCTCCTTCATGTATTTATGTATACTTTGAATTATAATTTTTGTTTGTATTTTCTAATTGATTTTGTTTTAATAAAAAATCAAAGTTATTTAAAACGATAAATTACGTTTGTAATAAAAAATAAAAAACTGCAAATTGCAATTTGAAATAGAAATAAAATTTATAACAATATTATAGAATGTGCAACGATAATCTAAAAAATGTCAATCAAAAAGTGTGATAAGTTTGCTTATATGATAATATTTTCACAAGAAATAAAATTTGATGCAAATAATAAATTAAACTTCAAAGAACAAAGTGAATGTAAAATCCTTAAACAATAATTTTTGTCACTCTTATTCTCGAGAACTTCTTCATGTCAGCAGCATCAACAAAAAATGGTCATCTTTCTTCATTTAGCCAGGCATGTATGAGTTGAACGCTCCCACGAGCATAAATGTTTATCATACACAAGGAATATCATAATATGTCACTACACTGTGACTTATGCTTTATGTTTAGCACGTTCATCATGCTTCCTCATTAACATGTATGTGCAAGGGCTAGGTAAACATACAATATAATGTAAAATCTTGAACCTACAAAAAATAAATTGAAAACTTCAGACACAATTTATTAATTGCAGATATAAGAAAAATAGCAAAAAAAATTAATGTGATTGCAAACAACAAATATTAATAGCAAAAAATAATTGCAGATGAAAACAACAATTCATCGTATAAATGCGGACATGAACTGCAAACAGGTAATAACAACTTCAATTAAGACCAAACATAAACTGCAAACAACTAATAACAACTTCAATTATAATAGAGAATCGCAAAGTGCAAACTGCAATTAGAAATGTACATCTGATTGCAAAACAACTACATGCATTCCCCAGTAATTTGCACATCAAATTAACCACAACAACATGCAAACTCCAATCATACTAAAAATTTAAGTACAAACTCAAAATAGCAAAATTCAAATCATACTATTTTTTTAGATTTCAATCTAAATGCAAACCAAAATTGTCATAAGGTTACCTAAATACAAAAAGGCAAACTCATTATAGCAAATGCAAACTCATAATAAAAGTTTTGGAACAGTAAACTGCAAACTCGGTATAACAAATTCACACTAGCAACAATCAAATTTTTAATCTCAAGAAATAAAGGTGCATACTTAAAAAACAGTTACATTTTTTCAAGTTAGCATGAATATACTAATAACATTAACAAACCCTGCAAAATCATCATCATCGTTCGATGTCCAAGAAAAAAAAGAGGGGTTTTGAATAAGTATTGAAAAAAATCAAATAATCAAATAGTAGTATTGCTTACCGAGACTAAATTGTGTTTGAGCCATTGTAGGAATAGTAAACAACAAACGACAAAACCACATACGATGTCTTCACACAACAAACGATTTCCAAATAGCCAAAAAAAATAATAATTATTTGGTTCCGCAACGTAAACAGAAAACGGAAGTTTGTAAATTGCAAACAGTTCGAGGACCCTACCTGTGGCAGACGCGATTCAATTTTTTGCTAGAGTTTGTTATTGATGAAATCGATGTTTGAGAGCGTTGGATTTGATGAAATCGATTTTTGGGAGCGGTGAAATTTGAGATTTGAGAATACGTCAAATTTATGAATGGATAGGTCAACTGCAGGGAGAAATATATGGGATATTATTTTAGGTATTTTTATTTCCATATATTATTAGGGATATTTTGGACACTTTAAAAATAATAAATTTACTAAAAATTGAATTTTATTAGTTGGATTTATACACATAAAATCTCTTATAGGAGTACCTATAGCAAATTACCCCTTTGTTTAAATATCCAATTTTAAGAAGTTTACTGACAATTTTCAAAATTTCATCACCAATTCTGTACATAAACCTAAACTTGGATACACAAAATATTGTTTTATTACCATCTAATGAAATAAAAATGAAGTAATAATCTAACATCTGAAAATTTTGATACAAAAACAAACTCATGTAACTTGACAAAAACAAATCGATGAAAAATATTTCATTTAACATTAAACCTCAACAAATCTGAAATTGGTGTAATGAATCACGCAAAAAAAAAATGCATACTTCGAGGCCTTAACGTCGAAATATTTGGTGTCAAGACAAGGTAGCCTGTTGGTAAGCACCTTGCACCTATGACTATCAGACTTTGGGTTCGACACATCAAGAGGGAAATTGGGAGCCACTAACTATCCTCCTAAAAAATTAAAAATTTGGAACACTTCTCAATAAAACCCAAATGATCATAATCAACCCCATTGTCGGGACGTCCTCAACGAGAACCGAGAAGTAGCTACCACGTCATTTAGTTGATATATGAACATATGAGGGAAAAATTTTCGTAGCTCTGGAGGAGTACCATCGAGGAAGTATCCATATACTATTGTCCAAATATATGATCGAAAAATTGCAATAGATGTACAAATATTTTTCTTCGGCGATGCTGTACCTATAAATGTATTGTCCCCGAGCTATTTGCAAAGTGGCCAATAACATGAAATGCACACATGTGGAAAACGAAGCCAAATCCAAACATTGGAAGGTGCTCTTATTTGTTAGCGAATACAATCGTTTCTTCAGCATATATACGAGGAATCCCCGAAAAACTCACATTTTAGTAAAAAGCATACGAGTATGCTGACACCATATTAGTTTTGCCATAGAAGTGTCAATCGCGGTAGAATTGCTTTACACCGTTGATAAGTACATTCCCATTTGCTCCCTCAAATTTGCACCTGAAGAATATTGAGTTTGATGCAGACTTCTTAACCGCAGCTGCATTTTGTGATGATGTTCCATTTGTGACCCTCAATTAATATTAAAACTATTAAATTGTCATTTAATTTTTTTTTACTTTTGTCCCCTTTAAGCAAACCTGGACACCATGCACAAACAAAAAAACGCGAAGGCTCGACCTCGAGTTTGTGCACGAAGAAGATGTAAACACATTTGCAAAGTCGCAGCAGCACTTCTATTAAGTGTATATTTTTACACTTTATCGTACCACTTAATTGGAGCTTTTGGTGTGTTTTAATGAAAATTGGTGCTTAAAATGTTGATTTATTGTATTTTAGGTACAAATTGAAGAATTGGAAAAGTATCGGGTAAAAACTGCAATTTTAGAGAAAATATGGGCCAAAAGTGAAGATATAAAAAAATATAAAGATTTATAGCCCAGACAGCCCTCCGAGTTTTAGTACAAAATTCGGAACGGCCGTCCGAAATTACGAAGAGGCGCAGTAAAGGGATTTGAATTGCACAAGGAAAACTACCTTCTTGCCAAAGTTTTCCACCCTATATAAGACCAAACCAAGCACACAATTGGG